CACAACCCAACCCAACGACGTCCGACAACTACGATGAGCGGGGCCCCACCAGTAACCGCCTGCCAAGGTTGAGAAACACTGCCGCAGCATGTTCCTCTTAGTTAACAAGAAGTCTCCCGTGACACCACTGTGCGTGGACCCCAAACACCAGTGCTGACGGCAACCCTTGATGCTAACCTTACCTCAACGTTTGGGTCAGTTCGTGGGGCCCAGACTTCTTGGGAAGTCTGGCTGAGCTAGAGGGGGAACCACACAGGACTCACTGACAGTTTTGACTACGGCAGGCCCCCCAGTTGCACAGACATTCTCTGTCCAAGGATGCGCCCCCTAATTTGCACAGGGGCTGTCTACTACAACCGAAAAGTGGCGCAAACTGTTGGGAAAAGCTTAGCTCTGTCGGGAAGAGCAATCCTGCATATGGAACAGCATCCCGTGCTTCAGCATCGACTCCCGCGGCAAAACAAGGATTGCTGCGTTCTGTTTCCGCCAAGGCAGTGCTGACTGCCAGCAGTCAAACCAGCAGAGGCCTGGCATACCCTCTGTCAGCTAAATTCTGAAGAGTTACGTTGGATGCCATGGCTGGGGCCTCCCCAGTAATATTAACATGCTCCCCCCCCATCCCAGCACTACCTAAAGTTGGGTGAACGGAAAAAAATTAAGGGCAGTGTAACGATGCAGCTAGTGGAGCAGGAATGTGGGGCAGGAATACAGGCAGAGCTTCAACTGCACTATCATGGATACCATTTTGACTTTTTTGACTATACCCTATGGAAACTCTTGCTATCCTTAACTTTCTTCATCCAGAGAGGGAGAACTCGCAACCTTTGAGCTAGGCAGTTCTACCGTTGCATAGACCTTACCATCAGGAAATGTTTCCCTATATATAAATGAAATCTAAGTAGCTGCAACATAAAAGATTCATAGATCACCTTTTCAGACTGGTTAGGTTGCTGCTGAAGATCCTTCAAGGCCCCTTGCATTTTAGGCCCACCATCTCGTTCTATGCTCATTCCCCTCCCCTCAAGCTCCGCACCGCCCTCCTTGTTTCAATGGGGCGGCTGCTGGGTGGGTTTGACCCAGATCTGACGCCAAAGCCTCCCACCAATTTTCTACGGGGGAGGCTGCAGCCCCACCGCCAGCAAAGCTGATCCAGGCCCATCCCGCTCGGTGGCATCTAGGACCTACATTTTCTGCTTCTTCGGAGGAGGCGGCTCTTGCTTGCTGGCGAAGGCGGTAGTGCACTTCTCCGCTTGGCTTTTGGCCATCAGCCGGCGCTGGGCACTCTTTCGCCGAGCTGAGAGCTTTCTGGCCACCCTAAAGAGGCAAAGAAAAGATCCCCTGACCAAAAGAGGGAGGGAGGGGCCAGGCGTTTCATTTCTGCTGCACCAGGATGGGGAGGCCCTTCGGTTTCTTGCGAGAAGGGAGACAGCCTTAGCCTTTCGGGAGGATATCAAGCGGCCAGCAGGCAAACTGCTGAGAGGCCCCGGCTGGAGACTAGAAAGCACTGCAGGCAACGATGTGGGAAACCAGGCCATTGTTTGCTATCCTTTTCCTATGGACACCACTGGATTTGACTTCTCACCTCTGGCTTCAAAAGGTGCCTCATTGCATAAAAGCGAACTGCTTACACAATGCCATTCCGATGCCAACGGCTTCTGGGGGAGCACCTGCTGATCTCCCGGGGAGAAGCTGTGGCATGGAACAGAGCAGTTGCTAACCCCTCATTATACGTTTGAATGAGATCATGGAAAAGATCCTCTTTAACCCTGGAACATGAAATTGGATCCAAGAAAGATGCATTAAAAAAACCTTGGCCCCAGAGAAGGGGCTGATTTCTTCAATTAAACGAAGAATTTGCTCTCAGAGTTACGAGCAGGCTGCTGCCCTAATGGAGCTCCCTAGTGCTCGTGAGGACTAGAAGCCTGTCCTTCGATTTATTTATTTCCTGCTTTGACAGACCCTTGTGGTTTACAGCATAACTAATAACAAGCATAAAACAAGATTAAACTCGTTTAAATTTGGTTCTGAATTTGACACGAAGAGCCAAAAGCTCTACAAATGAGCTGTTTCCGCCGCTTTTGGAAAGGCCAGGGAGGGTACCAACCATCCAGGCCCCTGGGGACAGGATGTTCCACAGGGATGGAGCCATAACAGGAAAACATTTGTCTTCTCAGCTTCTAGTCCCCTATCACGTATGTCTGATCTTATATTGGCTAGCCTACAAGAAGCCTGTATTGGTAGATGAGAAGGCCTGTGCAACGTTAAGACATTGTCTGTGGCTAAACCAGAAGCAGTCTGTGGTTTAAAAGAAGCAAATCAGTGTTTCTGGTTGAAATGCTGCAGTAAGAAAGCCTCAGATCAGACGGAGTCTAGAAGCACCTTCTCTGACTAACCGATTTGATGAAAGGACAGAAGCTATATCTTTTACCTAAAAAAGCCACCAATCAATCCAACTGAAGTTTGTTTGCAATTCCGGCAAATGGTTGTGACGCAGACCCAGGTCATTCTCTATCTCCCTTCCTTTGTCTGCTATCCCCCTGAACTGAAGAAGGAGAACCCAGCCCATGAACTGTCCAGCAGGAAGGTCCAAAGGGGGCTCCTGGCTCAGCAGGTCATTGCTTGAGAAACACAGAGAGGACAGCCAAGAGGAGGAGTGCTAGGCAGTTATGGAGCAAAAAACCTTAAAAGCCGAACAAACATCACTCCATCTGGGACTCCATCTAAGAACTAGAGTCTTACCTTCCTGGGGCCCTTGTTGGAGGTGCTGCAGCCTCCTGCGATGCGTGGTGCCACTCTGCCATAGAACCAACCACATTTGATGGTATCTCATTGGCCAGCTCCATCTCTTTATTTTCGCTGTCTTTCTCACCTAAAGGTAAGGAGACATTGAGGGTATTTCTCTGGTGTTGCTACCCCAGTTGCTCACTCCAGACAAGAGATCTAATGAAGTTATAGAACCAAGCATGTTCCTCACCAGAAGTGTTACCCTCCCAGAGAAGAATGAAGTTACTTTGGAAAAGACCACCGCGAAAACTGAGGGAGACTCGTAGCCCTTTCATAGTCTGTTCTCCTCACACTGAAGAGGAGCTATCAGCACTAAGAGATCTTCTGGTGGCCTCAGCAGGAGAGGGCAAGCCTGAAGTTCTCCATGGGGGAGATCCTGCACTTTAAGGTCCAAGTGAGATGTAGTACCCAGAGGCTGCATTCCCATGATTTGCTGTGCCCAAGTCAAATGGCTTGTGTGAACTCCAGGACACCACCAGAAGAGGGGGGCTGTCTCAGCTCTCAAGGAGTGTTTGCCCCATAAGGATATTGCTGGGGTTAAGAGAACAAAGGGCCCAAGCGTCATGGGTGGACAGGACCTGCACGTGGACCTTGCTTCAGCCCTGCAACTTGATAAAACACCGTTGCTCCGAAGGTAGCAACTCACCAGATTTCATCATTGGCGAGACAACAGCACGGGGGAGGTTAGCCCTCGATGACAACGCTTTTGGCAGGATGCCCGGCGTACCCATCCCTTCTCTCGGGGTCGTCAGGAGGGCAGATCGGACATCTGCAGAAACAGTAACCATCTGAGCAGGGTCCCCCATGCTATCGGGTAGGCCGCCCACCACCCACCTACCACTGAGTGCCCTGTCCCGGTCTGGAAGAACAACAACTCTGGAGCATCATTCAGAAAGCTCCCTGCTCCTTCCCCCTACAAGCGGTTAGCTTAGTCTCTTGGACCCTTTGCAGAAAGCAAGGCCTCCATCCGGCAGCGGGCTGCGTACTCACCGAACCAGGCATCGACGCCAAGCGTCTCATCTTCATTCATATCCTCGAAGTTGATGCATATATCAGGGACATCGTAAGAATAGGTTTCCTGAGACATCTTAATCCCCTCCTCTGCTGGAGCAGCCCTTGCCCAGCAATTCCGGAGTAAGGACCTGCAGAAGAAAATGGACGCCCCATTGATGGCAGGGGGAAGGCTGCATAATGCCTGTGGGCACCAGTGTGTCTGATACTCCTCTGGGGTTGTTGGGCTCTCTGCCCTCCCTTGTTTGGTAAAATCTTTTCGCAGCATGAGGAGGAAGCTTGCATGCTACAAATAAAGCACCAGCCTTCAGAATCCTAAGTGCAGGGTTTGGGGCCATAAAGCTCTCACTGGCACGGCAGAGAGTGCAGTGGGGGGTGGGGTGGGAGGGTTGCAGTTTGCCTTCCTATCCATGGGTCTTTCCCTACTGGCCAGACTCCTTATGGCAGCCATTTACAAGGGCTCCAGCCACTCGTTCTCCCCACACTCAACATGCCCTCCACATGAAGGGCTGCTATGCCCAATTTATAGCACGGCATATTACCTACAGGTGCAATCGTATTCAACTTCTGCAGCCCTGGGTTTAGACAGATACGAAACCACGACCAAAGGCCCCCAGTATTTCATCATCCTACTCCGAGTCCAAGAATATCGCAACTGGGATGACCCAAACCACGGTGATAGAAGTGGCCAGAAGTGGCCAAGAATAGTAACAGGGAACTTATTGCCCCAGAAGGATCACACCAGGCTTTCTGGTAAATCACTCTTCAGAAGCTCGCTCTTTCATAGTCTATCTGTCCTTGCAACACTTCCTCTCCTTCCTCTTCCCCACCATGCTGAAAGCTCCTGTCACTTTCAGCCAGCATTATGCTAGATTGGGGGAGGCTAACTGCAGTTTGAGACATGATCTCCTAAGCCTGCAGAGGAAGACCACCCTCTTCCCGAGCTTTGAGTCCATCTTAACAATGACTTTGAGGCCTTCACAAACTCCACTGGCTTGCTGGGTACTGAACCCCCAGGGCGTGAACCTGGAAGAACAGACTCAGTCCCAGAGGAGACAGAGGCACCCATGGAGACAGTTCTACTGAGAAGACAAGAGGAACAGGCCTTTTCTAAGCCAGAGGCTGGAGATGCCTCAGTCTCCACCAGGAGGCTGCTATTCCACGGCACAAGAACATCGCAGCGAGAGCTTCCCAAAGTCATTGAGGTCTAAGCATTGCCATCTCTGGAGAAAGGTTTTTGAGTGCATGGCCTCCCCAGACAGCTGGGGCCTAGGATGGCATTACCATGGATTTATATGCTTTTGCTAAACTAGCTTCATTGACATGTGGGCAGATTGCCCAGGTGTATATTACCATGCCATTAGCAGGTGCCACTCTCATTCTTAAACTTAGCCTCCCCTTGCTGAAACATGGCCCGCTGCCATTCTTGGGTGGGGAGAAAAATCCTGGAGTGTTGCCCGACTGAAAAGAGGCAGAAGGGCTGGCAACAAGAAGCCAACGTTCCCCCAAGATTGTAGAAATCAAAGTGCCCCAAAGAGAGCGAAAGGAGCAGACCCAAAGTAGAGGAACCGAGGTTGACAGCCTGGCTGGAATTAGATCTGTTCTTAACCCCCTTGATTGGGATCACATTTCTGTCAACACCCCTCCCTTCAAAAAAAATTATAATAATAAATGCGTCACTGGCATTCTTCTCGCCCACTCAGCTCAACAAGTGTAGCTGCCAAGTATGAGGAGCGGGCATTACATTTCAGGAACGTTTGGGCCAAAAGCAATCTCTCTTCGGCTCCAGCCCTTGCTTGGTGATGGAGTGACAATGGCTGCTTCGTTATGGAGAGCCGGAGAGGCAACTGGAGCCAGACCTCTGGGGACTCATGGAAGGAATCCCCTTGGAAGGAGCATTTCATTACCAGGTCATTTCCAGAGTAGGTCAACAAATTTTTGCCCAGCTTGGGCTGCTGTGCAACAGGAGCAGCAACTGATGCTACAGGTCGAAAACAATTGCAAAAACCAAGGTGCGACGCAAACCATTTATTGGATAGTCTAAATCCCCCAAGACAACTGACAGTCTTTTATTGCCAAAGATTCAAATTTCAACAGCAAAGCTATTTTCAGACTAAGGAGATCTCTGGCGTCCTTGGGGTTCTCTCAGCTTTGCAAGAAAAGAACCAAGCTCAGAGAACCCCAAGGACTCCACTTTTCAACCTGAGCTACGTATATTCTCTTCTATTGGTAAGGAGATCTCGATAGAAATCCAGTCTTTCAAGGTAGATCCAAGATTTCCCATTTCTCCTGAAACAGCAACTGTCCGGCCAATTTCAGTCACATTTTTTTCACCTAGGTCCTCATTTCTCAACTGAACAGCCCTCAGGAAATAAAGTTAATTTGCAGGTTACCATCAGTGAGAGATAGTTTCAGCTCCGCCTGAACAACTGATGGTCTAGAAGCTCTTTGTTAAGCACATTTTGGGGTTTACATTATCAGTTCCAGAAACGGATGTATGGGGAAGTTAAAACTCAAATGAATGGGCTGGGGGAAAAACAGACTTGGAGCAAAATTGAGGTCAGTGCACTTGCTCATTTAAACTCGGACACACTGAAAACTTTGGCATGTACAGTTCACAATATGTGTTATTTTAATGAATCACACGTCTTCTGATTTTTATTTCAGGTCATTTCAACTGCTAAATTCTTGCTCTTTTAACTACCTGCTAGAACAGCTGGCACAAACATTTGGAAGGTAGAAGCCCAACTTTGCAATTAGAAGAGAATGTCGACACAATATTCTGCTCTTGAAATGGGGAACATTTGCACACGTTGAGAAGGAGATGGCTTAGAATGGAAAACCTAATCAGGCCATTAATTCTGGTCTTGTTGACAGCCACCTTCTGCCCTCCTGACAGGGACTGCGATCCAAGCTATCAGCATGCCTTGATAACGTGAAATGTACCCATCTTGAAGGCCGCAGGTGGGGGGGAAGCTGCTTCCTGAGATGTTACCAATCTGGGTCTAAATGAGGAGTTTCCCATCCTGTCCAGGCTTTTTCACCTATAAAAATGCTGTTCTTGCAGGTTTCCCCAGCCTTTCTCTGTCACTCTTCCCCGGTCTGAGCCTGGCGTCCGTAGCTGGCACCCTCTGGCAGGGATGGTCCAACAGCCTGGAAGGTCACCTCCTTGTGGCCTAAATGCAAACTGTTCCTGCTGGTACAGAATGCGAGGGCCTGTCAAAAAAACATCAGGAGGGCCCTTTGCCCCAAAGGCCCACATTGCAAGTTGTGACTGGTTGGCCTGGAAGCCTTACGGGATCAGCGATCAAACCCCTGGTTAATTCGGCTTCGCCAGGGCACCCAAAGCTGCAACGGAGCCCTTGGTGGAGCAGGGCGAGAGTCCGATGGGGAAGATCAAAGTTGTGCCAGTATTTCCCAGGCTCCTTCGCTCCCCGCCCCAGCCTGTCCTAGCTATAGATCCGTGTCTCCCTTCCCAGCAACCCAAAAATAAATGCCCCTGACATTGCGTGCCCTGTAATTCAGACCCCCACAAGCTTCAGGAGACATCAAGATGCAACGAGTTAAAAATAGGCATTAAAGGGAAAGCAGAGACTTTGGGCCGGAGATATTCAGCCTCCCGCAAAGCCAAGCCACTAAGTCCCCAAGCTGACCCAAGGCCGCGCTGGGAACAACAGGCTACCTTTTATCTAGCTGGCAGAAGAGGGCAAAGAAATCACTGTTTAATTTCCATAACGCAGCGGCCCTTGCGAAACGCCAGGCAGCCAAAGATTTGGCCGGCTATTCTGAGCCACAGAATTCTTTCCAGTTGCATCTTGCTCCGCTTGCCCCCGAGGTGAGTAACGACGGGCCTTGTTAAGCAGAAACATTTCAATTAGCAATCTAACACTTTCCAATCAAGCTCTGATGGCTGGACAGAATACATTAATCTTCTCCACGCTCCTCTAGCCGGAATTTAAAATACCACTGCAGTTGCTTTGTGTTAAGCTGTCCCCGTTTTGTGACGTGATGATAATGGAGGGTCCAGTCTTCTGCCACTTGTCACCCTCCGGATTCTTATCACCTCCGTCCAGCGTCTCTTAAACAACGCAGCGGTAAGTGTAAATCTGCCCTGTTTTAAATTGGAGCAGGAGCGCCTGCAGAGCCACAAAAGTCAAGATGGCGGCCGTGGCAGCGTGATTGAAGCGCTGCCTTTTTAACGTGGGATGAGCGTGAAAAGCCGGGAGGAGCTTCACGCGTAGCATTGCGGACACTCCTGAATTGGAGTTGAAAATCTGATCTGCATCGAGATGGACTCAAAAAGGGTTCGTCCCCAGGTCATAACAGGAAGGCATCAGTGTGCCTGGAACGCCTTCATTGGGGGGCAGAATGGATGAAAATAAAAGGCACCAAATTCTAGCTGGATGCTGTCAAGACTGTCCACCCCAATCATTTCTTGAAAGGTCTCCCTGCACTTGTTCTTAGAGACAGAAAGGATGAGAAAAGGACAGCATCGCATCCCCATCGAGGGTCAGCCTCGCACAGGGCTAATGCGCACAATATGCCTGACTCCCAGTTAAAAATAAGAGCTTGCAAAAACCACATTCTCACTTTCTCAGGAGCTAAGCGTGACGTGACATTGAAGAAGGAGCACCAGCGTGGTCCTTCTTGCTCCTGGGTGGCTTTGCTGCCCCCAAGCCCCAGATTCTGTGGGCCGCTAGGAGGATTGGCAAGCTGGCTGCTCTCGAGGACACCCACCCCCAATCGGTGGCAGGACTCAGATACGTCAGATCTGTGGTTTGCTGGCAACGCTATGCCAGTAAGCAGAGCCAGCAGAAGCAGGCAGGCACAGAGAAGGACAATGCCAGAGATATAAAAGCACAGAGAAAGAGCCATTCGCTGTCTTGCTACCCCCTCCAAAACAAATTAGGCCTGAGTCTGATGCTTAAACCTGTGCCAGTAATGCACCAGCAAGGCATAATTTTAAAAGGCTCGACACGAGAGCATCTGCCAAGTGGCAGCCCTGACCCCACAGTCAGAGTGCTGAGAACTGAGCTCCTAAATGTGTTGGCAGGACCAGCACGGGCATCCTGTTAACACAAGAGAGAGGCTTGTGGGGTGGGGATGGGGGGCACATTCAGGAAGATGCAGTCATGCAAGCTTGACCACCCAGACAAGCTCCCCAAGGCATAGAAGTCAGCAAGCAAGGGAGACTCAGCGGCTGCTTACATCCATCTCGGAGAACGCATCGCAGCACTTGGTCCACCCGTGCTCCCCGTTGTCTGGAACATTCCCAGCACCAGCAGCAGCAGCAAAGCCACCCCATCCATGATCTTTCTCTCTCTGCTGCTTCAAAGGGGGCCCCCCTTGGAGATGCAGCCTTGTTCTGATGGGGTGATTTGACCTAAGCTTTGCTGAATCAAGTTCCAAAGCTTCGCAGCACTGTAGCAGGCAGCCTAAGACTAGAGCAGTGTTTCTCAACCTTGGCCACTTGAAGACCTGTGGACTTCAACTCCCAGAATTCCCTAGCCAATATGTGTGGACCAACTCCCAGAATTCCCCAGCCAGCATGGCTGGCTGGGGAATTCTGGGAGTT